TGTTTCACAAGTGGGTATTTGCTCCAAAACTACATTTTCAAAAAGTAGTACCTATAATATGCCGTACAACTAGGTCATTTTTCCTTCAACTTCACCTTCCATACTAAATGGGGGTTGAGGAGCAGAGAAAGTGCAGCTTTGAAGTTTAGAGAATATTGGAGGAAAAATATGCAATGAAAAATCTCTCTCCAAATTATCTCTTGCTTTGCTCAAAAAATAGAACTGCACCATTGCATTTGCATAATTTTCAATCATATCAGGTAAAACAACTAAACTGTCATTTTCTTACAAGAGAGTTTTCAAACAGATGAAAAAACAAAATTCTCAATTAGTAATACAGTTAAACCATAAACCAAATAAATTATCAATAAATTTTTCCTGGAGTATGGAAGGTGCTTGTCATACCAGAACATGCCCTCTATAAATGCAAAAGAAACAAGCCTCAGAAATTTCAATTCAGTAAGGTACTTGGGGATTGCTCCCAATTTGGAAAGCAAAGCTGTGGACCAGAACATAAAATATGCATGCCATTATTAGAATTATTTTCAAAAATTTGTTATTAAGTGAACAGGTAATAGAAATTAAATATAATATAATTTCTGTTACATGTGGTAAAACTGCCATCACAGATCTAGATTTTTGTGTATGATATCACAATTTTATCTTAAAATAAAAGACTGCCTTCTTTGTAAATTCCAAGAGTTCATTATTTGTTTTATATATGCCAATGACATTTGTTTCCAACACTAGACATATATATATATACAGTACACACGTAAGGATATGCGTACATCAAAATCAGGGAGAAATAAGTATTTAAGTGCGACTGCATACATTTGTCATAATTAATACATAAATAGAATTGGAAGAATAATGAAACAGATTATAAATAGATACTAAAAATGTTATAAAAGGAAAAATCAATAACTTTTAGAATCTAGATATATGATATGCTGCAACACTGAGACTTGTAAGAGCTTCTGCAAAACAGAGTTGCCAAATACATAGCAAAAAAGTCAGTTCTGGTGTGGTTTCCCTATGCAATTTTAAAAGCAATTATTAAAAAAAATCTCTAATTTCCTTCACCATGTACAGTTAATTTTTTGGGTACCTGTGTTCTCTAACAACGTCTTTGGTGTGTTGGGTCTGTTAATTATTTCTACAAGCTGATGCAACACCATTGGAATATACGGCTGCATTTCTATACCTGAAACAACAACAACAAAAAAAGATTCAGAAGAAAACAACAATTAATATCCGTAATCTAAACAGAATGCATATCCCGAATTTACTAAAAAGGACAAGGATCTCAAATGCAATTTAAATTTTAACATGAAATAATCACTAAAAAAACAAAAACAAAAACCAAAAACAAAAACCAACCAACCA